CTTAAGAGTAAGTGAGGAAAAACGAAATTTTTCACGAAAAGTTTCGACGGTTCGGTTGGATTTTATCAGTACCAATAAAATTAACGAATTAAGAATCATTAATCGGCAGAAGTTATAGAAAAATCTTAATCGAAGTTAGAAGAAAAATATATGTAATCTTTTTTGTACAACATTGAATTATTAAATAATCATCGATAACTTCAACGAATACCGCACTGGTCGTCATCAGTAGTATCGGTATAGATCTGATCAGACCATGCTTGCTCGTCGACCCGCTTTCCTTTCACGATCGACGGAACCGAAAAACGGATTACCAAACATTGTAAAATACATACGAATTCCTAAATTCCAATGGGATCGGTGATTCATCGAACTGCGACGTTCGACAAGCTTTCTGACCTACTTTCCTCGCTTCACGAAAATCGAAAATGGTGTGGTTTAAGTTTACGATGAAAATTTAAAATCGCTCTCGGGGATTAGACAGAAATTATACGAAATCGATGACAGAGAAGATGTCGCGATACGTTTCCGTTTTTCTTGCCACTCGTCTTATTTTTTTTTCTTCGACTCGTTCGCAGGCAGCGTGCGTGTACATAATTACGAGGATATGTACGCCGCCGCGCGATAAATTCGTCCAGAAACTTTGGGCTGTTGCCAGGGTGGATATTTAAAATTCTCTGCGATCTTCCACGAGTCCCCAAGTTTTTTCATCGCTCGGGACTGGGTAGTAGGCGTTAATGGACAGCTTCATCAAGGCAGTTGCCAATCGCGCCGATTGCTCCAATCGCCCGGTGCATTATTCGCGTCAAACTGTCGGAGACACGATTACGAGTAATTTCGCATCGACAGCAAAGATTTTCTAGTTACAGAGAACGTTGTTGCAAGGTTAAGCCGGGCTTCCACTGCACGTTTCCTGTATTATTTTTGGCCGTGCTTTTTCAAAGTTCTCGGTCACAGGATTTCTCAGAGAATTTTAAAGTGATCCAGCTTAGAAAAATATTTAGTCTCATTCGAAATTAATTAGTTACTCCGGAGGGTTTTATTTGCATAGTAAACCGAGCGGAAATACAAATATCGTTCAGTTCACTTGATCAAAGAGAATTTTATAAGAAAATAAAGAATCCCGAGTGGCTCGACGCATTTGCCAATTGAAGACCCGGTCGGGTACTCTTGGAAATGGAATCAGAAATTGTTCCACCTCGATCGCTCGCGTTTCCTCGCGGGACAGTCGTACGGATTTTTATTCCTTTTTTCGCGTTGACGCCAGATGGATTGGTTGTTTATTTTCATCGACGGTTTGAATAGCTTATATGAAAGAGATCGTTAGGCTGTTCCTGCCGAGAGAATCCGACAGGACTTCATCTTCTCATTCCCAATTCACGTTTGACGACACTTAAATTAGTGAACGTTTTCCATCAGATAGGCCGTCATCGAGTTGGCATTCGAATCTGAATGGAAAAGTTTCGGCGTGTTCGCAGAAATCTTAATTCGTGTCGCGTGCAAAATACGCACGGCATCTGTGATTTAACATAGCGTCGCTGAAATATCCCCCGAAATTAACTCGCCTAGGGTCCATTCAAATTAATGACGCAAATATACCTATAATAATGATTCACGAAAGTGTCTCCAGCCATTCGATAAATTTTGTGATTCACGATTGAATTAATGAACATTATATTATAAAATAGATTGAAGAAATAATTAAAAGTTAGGAGGAAAATATTATTTAAATAAATTAGCACGTTTCTTCGTACGAGCTTTTTTTCATATTCGACTGTGGAAATAATTATCGTTAACTGGTGCAGGCGCTCTCGCAGCTTCCGCCCCTAGGGAGCTCTTTGAGCGTCCAGCTGCGCGGTTTATTGTTTTTCATTTGCCCGATGCTGTGCAGTCGATTTACTGCTCTTTGAAGATCCCTCCCTCCCTTCGTTTGCGCGGTCCACGTGCACCAGGGTTTCAAAACCATGTCGTTTCCCCCGTTGCGAACGAGTCTACCATCGATAATAATGGCTTATTATTCCTCGCTAAAATTCGCTATCGAACAATACCTCGAATTCGCTAATACGATCTATGAGATGAAAATAAACCGCGGTCAGCATGAAATCTCCCAGATTCCGCCTCCGCTCAATTATATCGATGTCCCTCGATCGATATAACCACGGATTCCAATAATTTCAACGATATTTAATCTAATGTTTTCACAGTACGAATTTATCTTCTATCCCGTGTATAATCCTCCCGGAATCGAGAATCGAGGCGGAATCTTCCACGAGATTTGTCGAGGAAATTTGTTCCGATAGATTTCAATAAATCCCGCATACCGCGATCGATAAAAAAGAAGAATCTGTCGGACTTGTAACACGTGAAGCACCGCGGATCTTAAACCTGTCGTTCTTTCGTAGAACTTGTATTTTCTTTCTGCGACACAAGTGCGTTCTTGGCACCGGAGGACTATTGCATACTTTGCCGTGGACGTCGGTTTAAAGAGACCGTGCGCTAACGTCATCGCTCATATAGGGAAAAAAGTTATCGAAATTCTACTCGTTTCAGTATGTCAAGTCTCATAGACTGCGAATTTTCATGAAAAATAAGGCATTTATCTCGACGATGTAAAACCATTCTTTATGTGCATCTAGCTTTTGTTATTTCACGTATTTTTGTATATTACATAGGTTCTTTACAGTTCGTACATATGAAATTTCTCTGTGAATGCATGAAATCCGCAGTCTGCTCGTAATTCAACGGTTCGTTCTACTTCCCAAATAGTACGACCGTCTCGATGATAAATATTTTTCCAGTTGAACGATATGAATTCGAGCAATGGTCGGTCCGTCGTTTAATTAGCATTACATAAATCGTGTAATTCGTCGAGCTGTTCTTAATATCTGAACGCATCGATCAGGGAGGGTTTTACGTTGTATTTACGGAAAGGGTTAAACGAGCGACGTTGTAATCCGAAGTTCCGGTTGATTGTAACGCGACAGGTAGGAAGCGTACCCTTTTACGTCGTTCTTTTTTTCTTTAGCCACCCCTTGCCGTGGCAGCGGGAAAGGCTGTTCGACCTGGGTCACAAACGAATCACGGGCCAGTTCCACGTTTATATATAGGATGTTTAAATCGAACCGCGTGAGCGGATTTAACTTTAACGCGACGACAAGGTCGCTCCAGCTTGTCACAACATTTGCCGGGGGCTAGCGTGACTCCATCGTATTTTCGGGTTTTCGGCTATAAGACGAATCGGCCGACTCGGTTTATCGTTCAAGGACGGCCGGTGAGATAAATCGAGAAACACCGGTGCGGTACGCTCGGGTATCGACGCGGTGGCGTCGAGATCTGCCATATGCGAAGTGTAACCCGGGTGAATGCACACAAATTAACAGACGATCCCGTCTTGCGATCGCCGCGAGGAGTGAATGTTTGCGTGAACGCTCTCGGAACGTCTCAACTCCTGACGCCGAATCGACCGAGCCGAAAGTTTGCTTTGTTAACTCGTTACGTTTCACTATCGAAGAAAGCCGCGTGTCGTCTCTGAACGTTCGCGAACGAACATTTACATCTCCTTTTCGAATTAACTGATCAACGTGATCGTTCGGTGTTCAATCGCAGACATCAGATAATCGTTTGTATTCATTATTTATGTCGAGGTACAGATTCGTGACTTGTTCCCGATATAGAAATACGAGTTTGCGCGCGAAATCAGCTTCTCATTTTATTGTTCCCGCGGAGAAACAGTATTTTGCAACACTGGGCACGATCCGGCAATTTCCAGCTTGTTTACGAGACCCTCGGTTCAAATTCGACCGGCCAGAGTTGTCTCGGCAACGTGATCAAAGAAATTTCCGGTGAACCGCGTAACTTTAAAAGACTAATTTCGAACACGCCACACGGTTACGTAGGCATGAAAGCCTACTACGATAAACGGATACACGGAGCGCGTGTGCGGACGTCGAACGAGCGTCGACGCGGCCAGGCAAGGGGTTCTTTTTACGAATCTCCCGTTCCGCGCCGAGTTTATCGGCCGAACTAGAAATAGATTTTGCCGAGTTCGCATCGGAGATAGCCTCGCAGGGCTGGGCCCTTTGCCAAGGATGTCACTTAGCCGCGAGAACTACTTTGCAGCAATCCGTACCGTTCCAGAATACCGGCTGCCCGAGTTCTTATCTTTCCGACTCGCTAAACCGACCGCGATAACTTCGGCTTCACCCAAAAAATACATTTCTATTAAACAATAGGCGAGAGAGACGTTCAGCGAATGCAAATATAAATCGTTCTAAAAATTACGAGCAGACCGCAGATTTTATGCAGTTTTAGAAAAATCATTTCCGCAAAGATAACATTCGATTGTACGAAGAACGTCGAAAATTTTTTAATACTAGTTCATTGTGCATTAAAATCCGCAGCCCATTTATGGGAATATCTAACGTAATTGATTTGTACGATTCGCACGCGTGTCGAATCGATGATTTAAGCGGGCCACCAATAGTCACGTAATATGTTTGTGATAATTTCATCCGGCACGTTCCCGTGGGCCAACAATGGGGCGCGTTCCTCTGCATTTTCAATTTCTCTTCATTAAACCCCGATTGTCCTTCGGAGAATGTTTAGGATGGATGGCAGCCATGGCACGCGGCGTCAGTCAATGTTCTCGAGGCTGACATTTCTCTCAGATGCTGGTACTACGTCTCGGTACTCTTCAAATTTATATCTTTTCTCTTCTACAGGATATTTTCAAACGACCATTGCCGAACCGTTTGACCTTTGACAATATTATAAAATACCTTAGATAAAATCCGTGGTACGCAGCGTAATTTGATGTTTTCGAGGTTGACATTTTCCTTCAGTTGGTACTTCTAAAATTCCCTTCATTCTTATTCCTTCTTTTCAAAAACCCTTCTTTACAGAAAATCACCTCCTCGAGTCATTCTAAATGAGATCTTTCATTTTATCTGAGCCATTAATTATTATTATTATTTTGTTTTACGCGTAGTGGTCTGGCGATAGGCATTCGAATCGATAAGTACTTATTTTTAGTAAAATAAGCTCGAAAGGTGCAGCGCTCGATATAACAGCAATTGCTCTCTACGCGAGACTCCAGTTCATTGAACATTCAAGTTTTAACGTATAGTTCCTCGCCACTTGACACCTGAAATCGAGCTATTTTTAACTGGTGAATGAAGAATTAACGAAATGTACCCAGGATTACACGCATGGTCACTTTCAGGCGTCGAGAGGCACAGTTATTAAAAGTTTGGTCCCACGTGCGCAGATTCTTGCGATATTTATGCTACGTTCCCAATGATTGCATTATAAATTCGCGACGGTTTAAGAGAGTTGACGACAATAAATTAGTTGTACATGTTTATGGTTTCCTTTGAACGAAAATCGTCGATTTTCCAACGTCCTCCCACGCACCTCCTTTCCGGCATGCCTCTTAATTTTGAGGAATCGACGTCCTATAAATACTTTGTATTCAGAATCGCTCGTTCTCGTTCACTCGTCTATCTGTACCGCGAGCTTAACAAGAAAAGTTAATTTCAGACGTACTCGGAAAGCATGCCAAACGTCTCTCCTAACGAGCCGATGAAAATTCGGTCTCCTCCTCTGATCTCTAAGTTTTTGAAAACGATGAGGAACTGACCGAGGCCACGCGCGAAATTCAGAGAAGTTCAATATTCGTATATACTGTTTACCAACTTCTATTTGTTTGTAGATCGAAGTTTTTTAGTGGCTAACGCTCAACAAGGACTATGTCACATAATATACTGCTCGGACGGTTTCTGTCGGCTGACGGGCTTTTCGAGGGCGGAAGTGATGCAGAGACCGGCGATCTGCGATTTCCTTCATGGGCCAATGACGTCGCCCCATGCGGTCGCAGCTCTTCGCGACGCCCTCGCCGCCGGCGTCGAAAAGCATTTCGAGATACTTTATTACAGGAAAGACGGTGAGTCAGCTTGTCATTCTGTTAACCCTTGCTTTCCCGAATTACTTCGTGCTAAACGTTAACAAATTCTGTTCTGGTTCGCTCGCTTTAAAATTACAACCATCATTTTTCACATCACTAATCCCACACTTCGCTAATTTGACAAAACGGCGAGATCACAATGACCGATTTCACGTTTGTACTAAAATCCGTTTGATTGGTGGAACATCTCGTTAGAAATAAGATTTTCGTTTCACTTGAGAGTCTCACGTCGGGGGAACGCGTTCTATATCTTCGCGGGGCAAGGAAAATTGAAGGTGCAAACTGGTGAGATTTCCGCGAGTTGAAGCGGCACCGTAGGAAATGGGAACCGGACATCCTAAATTCCGGCTCCGGCTGTCGAATAAACCCGTCTTGGCAAGTCCTTTTAGCTTTCTACGGATAAATTCTTTTCTCAGATTTTCAAGAATAGACAAAGCGATCTCTGTACTTTTGCCAAGTGCTCTCCTCTTCGGGAACGTACCCTGATTTTCGCTTTGTCATGTACCACAAATCAATAATAAAAAGACTCGATGATATTCGCTGAACCGAACAATGCCTGTTTTTATCTAACTTCGTATGATTGCATGAAATTGATGTATCGCGAGACGCGAGTGAAAAACGAGAGCCGGAAACAATTTGACAAATTCGCCGACTATAACTCGCGAAGAAATCCAAGTTAATTCTGGATTCGCGGTGCCATTCAACATATATCCTAGGTACGATGCAATATTAAAACAGCCGCAGTTGTTTTGCGTCCTCCGGCATTGCGTAGAGCAGCTGTAAAGTTCCCTTTAAAGCGTCGTGTCGAATGGGGTTTGTTGCTGTCAGTATTATTAACCGTCCGCACTTCTGACTTACCTACTCTATAATAATCTTTACTATACCAAGCTTTATAACCCATTTCTTTTGCGAAGTTTGTCACTTCAATTATTCCTCTCCCCCTAATGTTTCTTTCCGCAAACTTGAGGACGTTTATCGCGGATAGAACGCGACGGATCGATTACTCCCACTAGTTATTGTATACCTAGAATCTGCGTTTCTTTAAAACGACAGCGTGAGAATATTCGATCCCATCTTTCATTATTTTCTAAATACTCGGAAAGAGGGGGAACGCTGAGAGGGGAGTTAATTGAGCGGTTTTTTTTATAATCGTTGGCCGATTTCTCTCGCGATTCTAAGAACTTTTCCGTTATTTAAAGCGGGAAAATTGAATTTATTCGCGGGCCGATGGTTGGCTCGAACTCGATTTTGCCGTAGTGTCTGACCTTAGGCGCGGTGAGATCAATAGTCAGCACTGTATAATTTATCATAGTCATAGCTGGTAGTCTGTTGGCTCGACCCGAGTTCCCCTGATTCGGTCCTGTTTCGTGTACGAACGACCAGACGACAGCCTGCCATTCTCGATTCCATTTTTATGTCGTCACCCCGTCCACCGATATTTCACGATGATCACCAGCGGTTGCAGAAGAGAATGACTCGTGAATTGATATGACAATGTGAAAATAGCGTGCACTTATTGTTGGCCGCACTACAGACGCGGCACAAAGGAAACCGGCGGAAAGAAAGCAGCTGTCGTGAAAGAGCTGAAAAGCTGAAAGTAGTCTCTTCCGACCACCTGCAGCCACCTCTCTGTGGTCTGTGATAGTATGCCGTGTTACCATTGAATATGGGCATGTCAGGGTGCGTTTACTCCTTTAGAAGTCAGGTTCGTTAACGTGAACAAGACGCTCTTAATACTTAATGGACGAATTGAGAGATGCATAAATCTGACTGTTTACACGAACGATGATCGATCGATCCTTTTGCTCTTAGGACCCTCCCTTCTAGGAGTACTGACCGACTTTCGTGCGTTCAACAACGAGAACGATACTTTCACGATTTCTCTGCATTTTTACCGTGACGTTGTTATATGCTAATCCGCTTCTGCGTTTTTTTATGGGATCGTTCGGTCTCAGGGAGCGCGATTGAAATGTCAGAGGTCACGAGACCAGGAAATTCCACTCGCTTTCATTACAAATGTTTCCACATCTCCGTCATCGTCGGGGACATTAATGCCTATCGGCACGGGATTGAGGTTGAACTTGAAATTTTATTGCGTGCTGCCACTCCGCATTGTACGCATTGGCGTGAGCGTAGAGCCGACCTTGGCTTTGCGAACCTCCAAGAATCCCTGGAGGTATGGAAAATCAATCGATCAACCGTAGACTTTGAAACTGTGAATCGGTGCGTGAGATAACTGTAACGCCGTCGGTTCAACCCTTCCGTGACGTACATAGATACATATGTATATGTATAAGTTCTGTCAGCACAATAGTTACCGACTTATCGGAAGTCTCTTATCAAAACCATTTCGCTGCGCCTCGTTACGTGTCACAGTTTCGAGCATTTCACGTAGACCTTCTCGAGAACGATTTCTCACGTTGTTACGCAACTGTGGAGAGCACGAGGCTTGAACGGCCAAGAATAACCATGCTTGTGTTCCACCCCTTCTCTTGTTCCGTCGCCCACCTTTGCGTCCCAGCATCCCCCTACCGTAGTCGATCGTAGCCCCTTTTCGCGCGTCTCCCACTAGATACGATTCGCGTAGTCAATGACATCACGGAAAGGCATTCAACCCACCCTGGTTCGAGGGAGAACTTCCCGATTTATGCGCGGATCGCGAGTGACGCAAAAAAAGTAATGAGTCGAAGCGCGGAAGAACAGCGCGAGTGGATTCCCATGAAATCGTAAGTCAATTTTACTTGCTCCCGTGACTCCTCGGCCCCCTCGTTACGAAAGTTCGCTCATTAAGAGCGCTATTAGTCCGCGGAAACTGAACCGAAACCTATGACCGAAGTTTTATGAATTTCCCTGCTCCGTGTTGCTATTGTCAGTGGCCTCGTTAATCTCTCCGTGAACAAACAAACGCGAAACATCGAAATTAACGCTGTTTCTCCGTGCGTTGATCACGTTACGACGGCTTGAAATTTTTGTCCACTCGAAGAGATGTAACGGAATTCATCCAAGAAATACGTGACAGAGCTATTTTCTAAAAGACTGACCTGACACCTTTCCTGTCTCGAAAAAGGAAAAGGATCTTTAAAGATCATGTAGGACATTGTAGAAAGTAGACTTTTAACGAGGTTGCCAGACGGGAAGGTCAGACTTCGTTAACAAAGGCTGGATATTTTGCGGAAGAGAAAGGTTGAATTCTCGGCAGCGAGTTCGATATAATCCAATCTTTATTATTCGAAGGGAGATAGGACGTATCGAGCGTCCATCCTCACGATAGACCGGCGCGATAGTCCTTTGAGATTAGACTTCTGGAACCTTGAACCATCTGAATAGACACGTTCACAGCTTTGATTTCAACGAGATATCGAGTTGGTCTCGAACGTTTTTCTTCTGTTCATCTGAAAAATGATTCGCGGAATGAACAGACTCGTAGTCGTGGCTCGATTAGGGTCATCCGTAGTAAACCAGGTGAACGTCTCCCTTCCCGTAGCTACTTTGTGGACGCTTGACATTTTCCTGGGTCGGTCACGTGGCCGTTTTTGGCAAGTACACCGGACGACGGGGTTTCACGATCCGCAAGCCCGAAAGCACGGTTCGGAAAGGGAGCGAACCTGAGCGAGCGAGGGAGGAAAGAGAGAGAGGGGAAGACGAACGAACTGGCGAAGAGAGGAAGAGAGAGCGCATGCTATTTCTGTGCACTGGTTGGCCTGCAGCACACGTTTCCACGTCACAGGGGCATTGCACTCGGTGACGTCACGAGGGCACAGCGTCATCGACCAATTGGAGGGAGCCGTTAACCCATTAACCACTCGGCTGTTCGTTCCACTGCGGTATCGTGACCTCCTCACTATCCACCGATCGTTTTACTAGCCACTGCCACATTTTTCGAATCCCACGGATCGCTCTCCCCCTAAAACTGCCTCCAAAACCTGCGGGATTTAATCCCCCGTGGGATCTTCCCGGCACAATAGTTTATACTGCCTTTAATCTGTCCACGTATACCTCCATTGTTCGGTAACGATTAGAAACAGTACAGGCATGTGTCGGATGATCTTTGGACGATGAACGTTTGCCGTCATTCTCTAAAGGAAAAATCCTGTCGCATCGTTCTATATCGATAATCGAAAGTAATTTAAGTATTATCGAGTGTCCGTTCGATGGCTGGGATACAAGGTCAACACGCAGTAGCTGGATCAGGAAGGACCATGTGTAAATTAGCCGAATTAGAGTGGACTCGATGTATTTTCGGACATGGGTAGTACCCCGAAGGGGATGCTTATTTATAGTATCCGCACGGCGCGGCGGTAGTACGGCGAAACAATTTTAGAAATTCATTTGGCTATTTCCTCGTCCCTGCCCCTATCACGTACTACAAGGGGCTACTTTTTTCCTCGTATTTTGTTCGATTATTTGTCGTCAGATCATCATACGTCTTGTTCGTTATACCAATTCGTATGTTCCCGTCCCCAATTTAGAACAACCGTCGACTTAATCATTACGAAATTCCAAATCATTTTTTCAATTCTTTCGAGGAACGTTCACCGGTTCAAAAATAATTACGTAATCAATCTTCGATGATTCGAATGTTGAGACAAAAAGAGTTTCAGAAAACCGCACGGTGTTTGAAGCAGGGATTTTGAGACGAGAGACTTCCCTAATTTTTCTACGCGTTCGACTATTAAATGGTACAAAGCGGGATCGAGTTCTGCACGTGTACGCCGTATCGCGGGAACATTAGAAGTATCAACACGAGTTCCTTAGTGTCTGCACATCGCCGTCTTGAAATAGATACAGTCCATTGGACTCTCCCGAGGGCGTAGTCGTCACAAAACGGTTACACCGTTCAACCACTGTTACGCTAACGTTTATCGTAAAGAGTTCCTGCTGACGCGCGCCAAGTTTATCGTTAACTTCGTAACTTCCATTTCGCTTCGTTAAACCGTAACTAAATTAACTGTGCGTCGATTGGAAGCGTGGAGAGGATCCTCGTGGATCTCTCTCAATTTCGTGGGAATTTGGGTTACGAATTTTTTAGTCTGTGTACTTTCGCGTATCTAGGAATCGACAGGCGAGATTCAGAATCTGATAGCTGACGTTTCACATCGTTAAACGACGCTTTTCTCCGAACTTTTCCCTCCTTCTCTTATGTGCACTGACGTTCCAATTAACTCCGAGTACCATTGGAATTCTCGCCGGGTTACTTGTTTCCTTTAGACCTTCTTCTGGAATCAAGAAGCGGGAACGAGCAGGCTACTGACGAGGCTGTTTCTTTTCTTCTCTCCTACAATCTTTCTCGGCATTAAAGTTAAAATCTCTTCTTTTCTTTTTTGCCGGCGAAATCATCATTAAAAGACGACGATTCGCGCAGAGTCTAAAACAGGAGTTTCTTGGTCGCGCGCTCGCATTTCAATTCGGACCTGACAAGCGGACTGTGCGTGACTCCCGACTGCGTGCGTAATTCCGCTTGGAACAAAGAGAAACGAGGAGAAAAGGGAAACAGAGAAAGAAAGCCGGCATGCGGATCGATAGGACAGCTTGCTGTGACGTTGCCGAAGAAACCACACGTATTGCACATATTAGCGGTTATCTAGACGAGAGAAGCGGCCGGCAAATATACCTCTAATTGATCGTCGAATTTTATTATCCGTTATTAATAGATCCGCGTTCTGTTCGATTAACCGACGGAAATTTATTATCCGGCCAGAATAGACGACTACCTGGATACGCGCGCACGTCCAATAAGCTGGAAACATTAAGCGTAACAATATTTTCTACGAACTTTACCTACCGCCGTCAACAATTCGTCGCGATGATCGAACAGTCCTATCAACCCTCGCTTCGACCATCCGGCTGGCCTGCGGTTATCGAGCTTTTCACTCAGTAGTTCACACAGAATTATGTAATGGTTGTTCGACGCTTACTGCGCAGCGATATTTCTTCTCAACCCTCAACTCTTGAAATTTGTCGTACCTTCATCTCTTCGGCGATCCCTGCCATTCATTTCTGTGCCAGAAACCAGCGAAGAAAAATCCTCTTCGTCTTCAAATCATCAAGAATCGTTTCACAAAAAATTATCTTCGAGTGTCCTAAATACCCGGATATTACTGGGGATTTGAAGAAAATCTACAGTTGTCGTCGACACCCTCGGCATACCAGTTCGAAGCACTGGTCATGCTTTTGTCCATGTGAGGCACATTGTTCGTTTATCGAACCCTTTTGGATCAGGTCCAATGTACCTTGACTCGTAAACACGACTAATTAGCTGCGTTCGCAGCGAAAGCTTTGGTCGCCGTCGTCGTAGATAATCGTGTTCCCGTGGCTACGGGCTTCCGTAACCTTGACGGCGACCACAGGCGCCGTGAACAAGCTTTTTATACTGTTCGCTAGACTGTACATCTTTACGCAAATCTGTGAACACCGTGAACACTTTCAATACAGAGACGAAACAGTGAATCACTTGATTTCAAAGTTCATCGATACGTGCACACACAGACGACTCTATCATTTTTCATGAGACGCCTCAGCGCTTTTGTTGATCTTTTATTCTTTATCATTTCATTGAGTCATTCTGGTAACGCGTTAATTGTTTGTCGCAGGCACCAAATTTCTGTGCAGCGAGGTGATAGCGCTAATAAGGAGCGAGGTGGACGACATCTGCTTGCAAATCATAAACTTCGAAGACTTGAGCTCTCAGCCAGCTCCGCAGCCTGCAATTCCGCCCCCGACTCAGACCAACAACAGGCTCGCCACGCGCTGTAAGTTCTTGCCCCTTCGTCTCTCTCTTTTTTTTTTTCTCACCCCTCCATCGTTTCGTTCTTCCCACCAGCGAATGCTTGAGTAACTACACGTACGCTTATCAATTTTTCAAATTATAATCAGACGACATCGCTCGCACTGTTCCCTGAGAACGAATGTTATCTTTATTAATTTACTACGTATGTAGCATGGCGCACTTTCGATTTCGCTGGAAAAGAAACGTGGGTAGACCCGTACGCTTCTATTTGCCCTATTTAATTCCGCGCGAACATTCTCTTTTCCTCGCATTGTGCCTAGGTTGTGCAACGCCGGGGACACTAGGTCACGTAGTTAAGTGTTAACACTGGGTGTGTCTGTACGAGCGTACTTGGGAATACAGCGTGACCTTCCCTCCCACAGACAGATGTACGAAAGGTGCTTGTAAAAATTACCACCGAGTCCCTCTTTTTTTCTCCGACAGAATGGAATTCTTCTCCGCAGGCGGTCCTAATGAAATTCCTCACGCTTGCTCGTGTCCCCCTTCGCCTCGCGGCGATCAAAAAGGCTAATTTCGCTCGAAACAGGTTATCGCGGCTGATTGAAGCTTCGCCCAATGGATCCCATTGGGCCACGCGGATCGATTTATCGGACTTGCCGTCGTTTAGAGAATACCCGATGAATCGTATGGATAATTTGCCAATTTATTGACGGAATGGTTGATTCACCGTTCGACTGGCTGACCGGAACATGTATTCTTACTGACCATAAAATTTTCACGGAATCCGAGCAATAAATCGTCGCGGAGGAAAACGCACGTTGATAGTGGCCGTCTTGCCAAAACATTTCGTGTCGAGACCGCATATAGTTTTCTGCGGCGTTTAACTCGGATCATTATTTTCTGCTGCACCGATCGGTATAACATAAGACAGTGGACGATTCAGGGCCGGTTCGCGAGTAACCGAGCCATGTAGCACCTGAAGATCATTACTTATTACAATCGGAGATCGAGGTCAGATTTGTCCGCATAATGAGTCTTGCTCTGCGTCATTCGCGAATCGCTCTTCCGCTTGTCACGTTTCCTTTTCCTCTTTCTATCTTCATCGTCCGTCGGGATGACCTTATGAGAAAAGTTTCCAGCCCGCGATCGAGGATCCGGTGTAATTGATCCTGCCGTTCGGTTAGATTCGTTTTCGTTTCCAACCATTGGAACTTTCAAGTTTTTTCAAGCGGTATAGCCAGAACTTATTCGGAACTCCTTCAAATTCGATATTACCTCGTGCTTATCTTATAGAGCGATGAATTATAGTGATATTAAATTGCGTTTGGCTGAAAACTTTTGTGTCCCTGGCGATAAAAGTGTAGCAAGGTATATAGGGCAAGTCAATCGTATAAAATAGGCTGATGTTTATTAATTCTGGTGAAACGCGTTCATTTTCATTTGTTCAAATACAAGAATTCTCTCATTCGACGAGCTCCGTCGTATACGAAATTTAAGAATCAAGCAATAATTAGTTATTTCCCATCGAATCATCCTGAGTGCTAATAATAATATCGCGCAAGATGCACTTTCTTCGTGCATTAAATGGCTGACCACTGGCACGGTTACTCTACTTACAATTCTGAATGCACACGCACGTCACGGGGCCACGAGGCTCGCTCACGCAAAGAGGAAGAGACTTGCACGCGTGGTCATGTTTTATATCTGGAGTATTCACGGTACTATTTTTAGTACGACGCTGCGGAACAGTCGCTGGACGTGTGTGGCGCGCCTAACGGTTAACCCTGACCCGGTCATAAATGTTATACCCCTATAAAGCTATAGACACCCCACCTTCAGCTTGATAAATCCACTCTTAACCCCCGCGAGCGAATCGGTTGATGGCTACTACCCTGGAAATGAAATTGAATATTAAAATGGACACGAAACTGCATGATAACTTCTCACGTTTCTGTATTATTTTCGAACATTAAAAGATATCAATGACTCTTAATTTCGCTTTTCACTGGTTTGCCAGAGGCAGTAGAATGAGTCATTGATTCGTCGGACGAGATTCGCTTCCTTTCCTGTTTAATAACGATCGATAGCTTTGTGCCGAAGAGAAAATTGCACCTGTCTCTTCCGATTGTGCTTCACTCTTTCGCAATTCACTCTGCCTTACCGTAACTGCTTGGGCACGTAAATCAAAACGCGGGTTCATAACCAATGTAAATTATAGCGTTGAAACGTAATCATTCATAGAATGTAATCATTGTATTTTTGTCCACAAAGTTGAACGACTCCTGGCTGGCGCAAAATCAAAGAACTTTACGACTGTCATATAGAGAATCGGCGAATTCGTGTGCCAACGACCCAATCGTGCGTTATAGCATCCTGTATAATACGATACCGAAACTCTTCAATCCAATCGTTCATTTTCTCGACGCTACAAGTGCTACGGATAAAAAATAACGTTCTCCGATCCCCGGTGATATTTTGTAAATTCGTAAAGTCAATTTTCCAAGCAACGTTCCCGACACTGCCATTAGCCATTCCATTTAATTCGATTCATGATCTCGTTTACCTGTGCCTCGGCGAAACTTTGTTTTAACTTTGTTTAATGCGTAACTCACTGACATGTCCCCCGAGTTCGCTGACAAAAATATATTGCGCAAAGCGACGTGTACAGGATCGCGCTGATAAGAATTTCTTTAAACACGTATAAATTTCGTAACGTTTCAAAATTCATCAAGTGCCTCGGGACGAGTTCGAGGTTTCGTTGCACGTGAATTTTCGCAATATATTTTTCTCGTTGCATACACAGCTAACAGTTCTTACTAACAACCACTAATAAGATTCAATGACGTTGACTCGAGCAGTCGACAGGGCAAGGGCGTCCTTCCGTGCTGGCCTCTCCAGGACCGGTGTCGTTGGTCCGCCGAGAGTCAGGAATCGACCGAGAACAACGACCAACTTACCTCATCGAGTTGCTGACGGGACCATCCTCGACGAGGACGCCTCCGAGAACTGGTGAGACCAAAAACTTCGCCTCGCTGTCCGTTTTTAAGCAGTATTTTCTAGTTAAACACGATACGAAACTCGTGGAGTCGGATTGAGAGCGAGTCGCATTTTCGGTATAGAGTAAGGGTCGCGAGGACTGATTCGCAGTACTGCTGCGCTATACAGAAGCCAATTAAGAAACTGACGAAGCTGACCTAACTAAGTACACTCGGCGCGTTAATGATACCACCGCATTGTCTCCGCGCGCGTTCACAGCTTCTCGACAATGACGCTGGTATTCGGTGGACCTTCACAAACCCCGAACACTATGTTCGTTTCGATACCTTGTTAACCTCTGCACCTATCGATTTCCCGGCACATCCATTGACTCCGATATACATGCCCGAAGAAATTCGAACGTTTATCGTAGTAACTTTTATTGTAGTAACTTTTATCGTCACGCTTTCTTTGCTCTGTTAGACGGGTGCGATTAATAAACTTTTAATCTGAACAGAAACATACAAGGAGAGCGGGAGATGTTTTGTAATGCAGACTACAGGAAAAACATGGCAATCGCATACGACTGAAAGCAGACGTGAGATCAAATATTGGTAGTCACTCGAGCAAACAGTGGCTCCGTTTGTACCGCCGTCGTGCCGAATTGATTAAGGGTTTCGTAAACAACCCTTATCGACAACCTTCTCATGTAAATGGGTCACGAATTGTGACGTGGGGTCCTTGCTGCGTTCTTTGATAGCTGATTTATGAATTCAGAGGCAAAATTTTCAAGAAAATATGGTGAAAGCCAGAAACAGTTGTACCCTTCGATTTTTTAAAAGTTTTTGTAGACTATTTTTGATACCATTTTCCTATGCACATGGTGACCGATGGAGAAATCGATTAAGTATCTCTTTAACTACATTCCTTTGCTGCTTGTTTATCCTTTCCGCAGTCGACGATCGATTGGGTATCTCTAGCTAGGAGCGATTGCGGCCTTGGCAATTGTATCGCCACAATTACAATCGTCGAATAGCAATCTCATGGCCGATCTCGATATCGGCATATCTTCTCGATCGCTTTTATCACTTTCAACGTTCCTTGTGCATTCCCCTGCCCCGTTGATCTTTTCACGTTGAAATTCGTGCGATACTAATTGCCAGCGATGCCGATTCGACGTGAGGAAATTGTTAATAGACAAACGTTCATGGTATCACTTTAAAAGATTCGTCATTATTTAAGTACTCTGATTTTTATGCATTAGACGTATTCTTTATAGTTTCTCCACTTTCAACCTTTCTGTGAATGTGTAAAATCCGCAATCTCGTCATTAATTAGAAGTCGATAATTTAATGTAGATTTTCCTTTTTATATGATTTAGGAAGCGAGAATTTCGTAGGAAAAGTTTCTCATCGCTGTATGCTAGAGTACACGCCTATCTATATGTATGGAACCCGGCTCCTAGGTCGGTGAAAGAAAAATATGTTTTCGACGTTATTTCCGATAAAAGACGACCGGCTCTCAGTTTCTCGTCGCTGGAATATCGAAGACTGACGCGACATACATTTTTAAACAACTATATGCAGATCGCGTGCCGAGTTTCATAGCGTGTTTCAGATCCAGCCGATTTTTGACACTTCATCATCGTCGTTCTACCCGCTTGCAAATTAAAGAGTATCGCATTGGAAAATAACTGTTCTATACTGAGATGTTCAATCAGAGAGTGTACCGTGCGAAAGTCGACGTTTATAGACGAAGACCGTAACACGCGACATAAACAATCCTCCGGAACCGGGAAGCACGGGGAACGACAGAGAGTAATGCGATCGCGGCACCGACCTTGGGGTCGGACAGCTACTACCGGAGACAGCGCGCATGCTGAGGTCCTCCTCTCCTCAAGGCGAAACAGGTGTACGCTCGGCACGCAACGAATCGTAGCCCCGTGGATCGCTTGTTATTCCAGCGCGCGGCATGAATAAAAGTCAACTGGCGTAGATCGTGCGAGCGAGGCGGGACGAGGAAACATAGATAAGACCCGGGGCTCGCGTGGAGCGAGCACTTCCAACGATTGGCAGAGATGACTGGTACGATGACGGATATCACGAAAATCCTGACGAGCCAGAAAATAATTCCAAAAATGAGAGGCGAAAACATACGACAGAATCTCGCTGGGAAGGAAGCACGTGAACAATTTTATGCCCCATTTCCCTGTTTAATTGTGCTCTAAAATTGCCTATCGGACGGCGAAAGTTTTTGAAGCGAGTACACAACGACATTGATGGTCAACGGAAGTTTCGTAGATTACGAGAGGAAGTTTGATTAGAGTTGTAGCTTCACGGTAACAAAGAGGAATGTCCCGGTTTTACCGCACACTTGAAGGTGAAGTCGCGTTGGACACGCAACGTCCCGGTAAATGGAGATTGAGAAACGGCCAGGCGAACGAAAGGAGCAGATATACGCGTCCCGCGCCTTTCCGCGTACATTTCCGTTCCGTTGTTCGAAAACTCACGCGAACTTTGTAAACGATTTCACGAGGCTCTATGTCAATAAATACTGAAGCGCGAACAAATTCTTATGAACGTTTCAGAGATCTGAATCGGTGAATCGTAGAAACCTCGTGAGTTTGGGAAATAAACAGGTGAAGTATGTGCAAAGAATTTAGGACGCAAACATACTATAGTAACTATCACGTTAAAGGACCGAGAGGCTTTCGACGATCGTGAAAAGACAGACTCGTCGCATGAATAAACAGGCCCGTGAATGAACCGGTTGAATGGGAACAAAAAGGAAAAAAGGAAGGCGCGGAGGAGATGAATGAAGGTGCTAGTTTGTAGCTGAAGATTTAATCTGCCGTTAAGGAGCGTGCGTGACCATGATACGACCCGATAGCTGGAATTAAGTTCGTAGCCATTTTTAAGCAACCTACTAAAACATGCAATGCGACCTTAAGGAACGTCGCTGGACCGGAAATAGAATGGGACCAATCGATACCTATGTGTCTTGTCTGGGTAAGAATCGAACTCGAATTAATTACAACAAGAATTTTATTAGAAAGAAATTGAAACTTGGTTCAAGGAGTTAGCAACTGGAATTGGTCAGGGTAGGGGTGATGAATTTCTTCTCCCGTGCTCCCTTACGTATTTGCCTCACTGTACGATCTGTAAATAGTAGACAGACACAGGAGGAGACGCTGAGCCCGGAGAAAACCGTAGGTGGCTCACGAACGTCAGTACGTCACTCTTGATTTAGAAAATGTGACTGCTATTATTTTCTCAGCCGGTGGAATGAGATTGCAGGCGGTATTGGCTAAATTCGAAATTGGTAGATAGTAAGACATCATAATTTCTAAGCGTAATTAGGAAATGGCTGGCTGTTCATTCTGAAATTGGGAATGTTCTGTGCGAAATGTTTCACGTAGTTCTGAGTAGCACGCTTAGCTAAGAAAGTCCCATTTATATCACTAAACATAAATAACCGATATAGTTCATGGATGCCACTCGCTTGGCAAGCGTTGCCGTATGGACGGGGACCAAAGTATTTCACTAGTTGTCTTCGCATGAAAAATGATAAACGACCGGCAATTATTTCATTTAAATAATTGAACTTGTAAGAGTAAGTTGTACAAGGTTTCTAAATAACGTGCGGCATTGAGATCTGAGATATTTCAATTACAAGTTGTACCGAAATTAGAGAACAAGAACGACAATAATTTGCTGCTAAACGGAACGTGCCAGTTTCCCATCGAGCCGCATTACGGTTGTTTTCAGCGAGGCCTTCGCGTGTGAACATTCGCTGATTCCAAGCGAAGTGTTCCTTTCGTTAACAAGAAACTGCAAAACTAAGGAATTCGCTGGGTCAAAGCAATTTCATCGACGGAACGATTCCCCGAGTCGTTCTGCGTCGTTTATAAAATAAGTATAAATAAAACCGCAGATGCCTACCGGCGGAATCACTTCCCTCGGGCAAACCGACACTGAATAATGCAACTTATTAACGCGGGCACGAGTGGAATGAAGGGCCATTAATTATTCAAACGCGACTAAATTAATGCCGAGGTTTCGTAATTTAAAATTCACAAAGAATTTAGTGCTTCTTCTTTTAAATCGTCGTAACAGGCGCCAAAAAGCGAATCGCGCATGTAAATTCGTTTTTGCTTTCAGTCCGTAAAAACACTTTGAACGTAAAGTGGGATGGATAAAGCATGTTGCGGTAAAAAGATGTGATGCATTTGTCCGTTGCCTCGGGTTGAATCAATGAATACTTATTAATAGCGGTAAAGTACGATTTGTTATAGAAGAATATTATTGCTCGAACACGGTTTAATCTGTAAATATTTCTCGATTCCTCCCACGCCGCGATGTGAAATTAGATAATCCGTTTTACTCCCAAACGCCGTAAGCGATACTACGGAGATATCGTTCGGAAATAGAAATTTGTGAAAATAATCTTGTCACTTTTGAATGTATAACAAATACGGAAATAACGTTGGGTCTTTCATCGATAAAGATGCACGCGCTAGTAGCACCATAATGAATCATTTCAAAGCAGCCGACCATGCAAATGCAATTTACCACTTTTTAGACATGTAAATTCCTTGAACTCAGCCAACAATAGCGTGCAAGTGCTGCAAGGTAAAAGCTGCACCGCGTACGTGCGACACGGGGCACGAAGCGGCGGGGTGCGACGGCGAAAGAGGGGAAAAAAATATAACGTCCATTACACGGATCTACTTATTTGTATTACGAAATCGCTATGTCAACACGGCGACCGAGGAATCGATGTCAGGGTTGCTCGGTTGTGGTAAACGTCGATAAATTCACCGCGGACGAGGAAATTCGCGATTCCCTTGCGTGAACACGCGGACTCGAGTGCCGTCAATTTCCATTAATTTCGACATACCATGAAACAGCTTTTTTCTGGATAATTGAAGCGCATTACGCGTTTGCCGCAACATTTGCCGGGGTACGTTAACGAAACGTCGCCGGTAATCGAGCATGAGAAGCAGACAACGACGGGTAGAAAACAGAGTGGCCGCGTTAACCCGGAAATCGTGAAAGGGGTGCCTAATTTCGCGGAAATTTCAGGCGTGTATGTAACACACAGCATCGGGGTCGAGTCGGTCTGATATCTGGAAAAATTTCCTGCTGGCGATTGCAACCCTCCGTTCCGAAGGGATAACAGAGAGGGTGTATCGGTGTTGTTAAAGCGGAGACAAGTTCAGGGTAGTTTCGTTTGGAACGTTTCCAAACGTTTCAAACGCGTAATGAAAATTCCCCTCGCGCCATCCGGAACCGTTCTCCCCTTAACACATATCAGAGTAAAAAAAAATAACAAATCAACCCCCGTCGACGGTCCCGTTACCATTTGTATATATGAAGGGGCCGAAGCAGGGATTCCTGGTAATTCCATTGGTACAGACGAGTCTCTGTGGCGCGACTGTTCGTCTGACACGTTTAAATAGCATTTGTTGCCAAAGCTTTATTTGTCAGACTCGCACGATTTATCTATTATTCTACCATCAAGCTGTTTCTGTAATTAGCCAGCGACGTCGACTCGAGTTAATCCAAATAAATGTTACGTCTTTCTCGTTTAACTTCCTGACGAACATCGGGGTTATCAAAATTTTTGTTAATTGGTGATAAGGGCTCGACTGACGATAAGTAAACATCGTTTAGATCGTTCCGTTACTTAAACTTTCCAAATGCTCCCTGCGACACTCCGTTTCCCGCTCCGCTTCTTGTCAAGCCAGCCTTGATGACGCGCTTACGTCCAGCTGGAAGTTCAGCAAAACAAACTTCGGTTCGTTTACATTATGGTTGTTACGTACGCGAGGAACAAAGTATGTACTTCCCTCTGTGTATCGCGTTGCGGCTCGTCAGCTTCTGTATCGATTGCCAAGTCTGACCTAACACTGACATACTTCACTCGCCATGTCTGACCTCTGTTCCGTATCGACCATTGTCATAATCTCAGGATTTTTAAGATTCCATTTTTCATAAATTTAGATGACCTTTCTTGATCATTAACAACGATTACAAGACACGCATTGCTTCGAACGACCAAGGAATTGCCAATTTCGAGATGATTTATTATTCGTTTCGTAATACAATCGTTAACAGAAAAATGTTTCCTCTTAATAACAGATAATGCCTGCACTTTCGGTGTAATGGAACGAACGTGTACACGTATTTTGCAGCCCGCTAACATGTGGTTCGCCTACAATGATGGAATCTTGGGGTCCTGGAAGGACTGGCACACCCCCGCCTGCGCTTCCGCCGCCGCCAGCTGGGAGCAACAATGGTGGTGCAACGTCTGCAGCAACCGCAAACGTCGCACAGGCAGGTTCTACCACCGCGCCGATTGCCAGTCCCGAGGGAGTGAGCGACGTAAGTGCGGAAAAGCTTAAACGAAGTGCCTGTAAAAAACCCGCAAATTCCTACCGCTTCCCTCTATACGCGTTCTAATTCAACCGGGCTGAAGGGATAATTTGGAAATGTAAAAATAAAATGCCGATGATTTCGTGCGGTGCAAGGCTATGGTGTCGCTCAAAGCTAATAGCTCGAGTTAATAGCACGTATTCAAGTAAGTCCCGGAAATGGAGCGCTCGTAGAGTCGTTGAGGGATGAAACCACTCGTCGCGCCTACTCCTACCACCCAGTTTCAATTTCACAAACATCCCCGATGGTTGGCCGTAATGGACGTTGGTCGCGCTATCGAACAGAGCTAACTGAATCACCGAGCTATGTCCGAAATATTGCCCATTCCCACGAACGTTCACGGTGGTTCAGAGGCTATACAAACCAACGTCTCGTTATATTTTTCGTTCATTGCATTAGTACCGAATTTTTATGATTCGTATTTTGCTTCGATCAAACTTTGGATAAAGAAATATGTACGTAACGATTTAACAGTATTCTTGCCACTTCGCGAGCGAGCCTTAGCCTTAAACCGTGCCCTCAACCCCGAAAGCAATACTTTGTCCCAAGTAAACTCAGCTTGATCGCGTGCATTCGCTTCGAAACACGTCCGGCATCGATCGTGTCGCAAGAGCGTACGGCGATGCTAACGATATTCCAGCCGGCTGTCACGTGAAACGGAAGTCCGAGTCAAGGGTACCTCGAGAGACAAACTAGAATCTCAAAACTATTTTTTATAAAAAATGAAGTAAATATTATTCCCAATACGTAGATACCAAATTCCTATTCTTACGATGTAAAACTGATAAAATCGTCGAGACTGTAAGAACTCTGTACTTGGAATTCTGACGTGAACGTTAGAATTGTGGTATGTGTCGACAGGATCCTCTCGTCTGTAACGAATCGTTCGTTCTTGCAGGTCTCCCAAAAGTCCGGTATTTGGGAAGGCGGTAATTTCTCGTCGACGGGAGGCGGGGAGGGACCATCGAGGAGCGTGTCGCACGCGGCGAGTTTGGACGCGATCTCGAGGAGGGCCGTGAAACCGGATGCGGCCAGGGCACCGTGTCGCAGCCTCACTTGCAGCGTTTGTAAGTATCCACTGGCCGCTGACCCCCGATCGTTCGCTCGTTTTCTGTTTTACATAATTTCCCTGTTTGTTTGTCTCGGTATTTCGGTGGATTGCCATATTAGCTCGAGCTTTCTCTGTGGAACGACGGCTTTTCCGACGGTCCGGTCGATGACATTTAGGTGTTTTCATTCGCCCCCCCCCCTTCCCCCCCGAATCACCCTTCCGTTCCACAAACGGACGGAAAGGCGACACGCTGTTTTATTCCGTACACGATCCCAACATTCCTGGAACGCTCGATCGTGCGACGAGAACGCTAGAAAGCATTCTGCAGACATCGCCATTCCGCCTGACCGCCGAATCGTTTCGATCTTTTTACGTATACGTGTCCCCGCGTTTGAAACCATCCCAAAACGAGTCGTACACGCGTAACGTTGCAGGCGAAATCGCAATTAACGACGTGCATAGAAGATAATGTACCCGCATGCGATGTTTCGTGTCGCGGATGTTGACAGATAGTGGCCGTGCGTGTCTTCTCGCTCAGCGATATAAGCTATCACGTGCCGGAATTATCGTTCCCGTTCGTGATGAGACATCATTGTAGAAAGTTACATCTATAGCCCGTTGTTTTTTATGCACGACGATCGATTGTTCGCAAAAAGAATTCTCGGCTTGTCAAATATTAAATAGATTCGGCTCACTATGATCAGACCAAGAATCTGATACTCGAATTTGAGGTCGAATGCTGTCTGATGTATTCTCTCGCGTGACTGTTAACACCTTCGAATTTTTAAAAAGTTTTGGACAGCCATCTCGCTATCTGTCAACCGAACGGTAAAGCTCGCAAGCTCCGCGCGTGTATTCGTGCCTCAGTAAAACGACGGTAGTTGGCGTCCAGCAGCCGCCCGTCGCTACCCCTTTTACTACCCCTGGCAAAGTGTTCAAGGAACGCGGCGTTCCCTGTCGATCACGCCCCTGTCTCCGACAAATAAAGAGATGTTTCCGTGAAAACTCATCCCCTCAGACCTAGCCCAGCCCACCCATTCGTTTAGATCAGGCCTGACCCTTCGGTACAATTTGTAAATTCCAAAGTCAAACCACAGTAAACGTATTTTAGTAGCGGGCCGAGGGAGCGAACAAGTCACCCTCGAACGACGGCCAGCGACTGTCGATAATCTAACGGAAGGTAAAACAGGATGGTGCAGCCCTTGGTCTGCCACCCCTATTTGGTTTTTCTTTTAAACCGACCGAGCGCCGGCGAGTTTGCACCCCTTTTACAACTTACCAAGCGCTTGCGGCTTCTCATTTTTATTTTGGTCATGAGCTTTTTCCAAGAGATAACGCAACCGCGTTGTCCGACTGAGCTTTCATAGGCCTCTTTTACTTTTTATATTCGTATATATTCTGCCTCCACCACCTATATATTACCACCTTTGTACTCGTTTACCTTCTCTTCTTATACATATCTCATCTCTGTCTGTACAACTCTCGCATCTACTGCGGAACTCTCTTGCCACTGTCTCGTAATTTTTTTCAGGACAAGCACCGCGGCGTCGGCCGGTCAGCGCTTTAGAAATTTTATTGAGCTCCGTACAGAGACAGTGAATAATCTGAATCGATGTCGATGATCTATGTATCGATCCGACGGAAGGCTGACCGACTCGACGCGCGGGGAACGAGACTTGTCAAATATACCAGTTACGCTTCTTGTTCACGAACTCGGTCAAGATTCGATTGGCTGACATTTCCTACACATAGCTTCTCTATTATAGTGATTCACATCGATTTCCAAGGGTGTCTCCCTCGAAATCGTTCGAAACGGCCCAGGATGGCTAACGTCATTGTACAAATCATCATCAGAAACGATCTTCCTCCCCGTCTTTCTATATATGTATATAAAATCGACGTACATATAAAAGACGTTATAAATATTACAACATATTATATTATATTCATACTACTTGAGCGTAGTAATTGCAGCATCTGTCATGTTTGATTAAAAATAATTACACGGTCTTCGACAAAACATTTAAACGATCTTTCTTTCACAGGTATGCAGCTTCTAGTGCGAATTGACTAACCCGTTAACAAACACACTATTTTAACGCTTTTAGATCGAGATATAGGCTCGGTTGTTTCGTTGGTTGGTTGGTCGGTTGGTTCTCTCTCCTTTGTACGGGTTTCTATCTCTCTGCGCTTGAATGAAGAAACAGAAATCAATTTGTAATGCACCGAATTTTGACAACTACACCGTCCGTAGGCTCTACATTGGCCACTTTAGTCCTATCAGCAGTACCCTTGGTAAAAAGTTCTCCGTACACAGTCCCAAATTGCACAACTGTACTAATCGACAACTTTTTTCCAAGGGTTGTAACGAATCTTTGCGCTCCCGTTCATCACACTGTATTTTTCACATTAGATTAGTGCGTGTAATTGATGTTTGTAATAGATTTATCAATCAACGAATTTGACCTACAGCTATATTTTTTTCAAATCTATATACGTAGTTTGTCTTTAGACCTTAAATCGAACCGATCGAGTCTCTTCCACCTTCTCTTACTTATTTTTGCGCTTGAACGAAAAAACAGAAATCAGTTCGTAATGCAGCGAATTTTGGTAAACTATAATCACGCGAAATAAACGTTAGTACGCCAGATATCAGAAATATTATAAATAATTACACAGAGTTGAATAGTTTACGACTTAAATCGAGCCTGTATTTCACACGATAGTCTCGTAACGATAAATAGGATTGACGACGATCGTTGACGGTAGTCGACCGGAAACTGACCGATGCATTTGTGTTTTTAGCGACTAAACATTCGAAAATCTTTCCGGGCGTCGCGTCCGAGAGCGATCTGCAGAAATGGCGGACGTCCAAAGACAGGAAATCGCCATCCCTCAGCCAGATGGGACCAGATTCCATCAAACACAAAGTAAGTAAATGAAACGTGCGATAGAGGACGGTTTGAATTATTCGCGGAGGGAAATCTGGACTTTCTCTCTGTTAATTTCTCTGTTTTGGGTTGCAGTTCTCCTTGCAGGACAATGGGTCCGCGAAATACTTCCAAGGCGCCATGCATACGTCGAACATGGGAGAAAAAGTAGCTCAGGTAAGCGATCCTCGCCCCAAATCCTTCCTTACTATTAAAATGAAACACTTGATACTTTATGAAGGAGAAGAAAGATAATCCTAAAGAAAGTATAGAAACTGGTGAGTTCTGAACAATGTATCTCTACGAAAGTTGTATGAAAAGTAGCCAAAAGTACGAATTTATATGCAAATCAGAGGCTTGTCTCGCTATACGCGACCTCGTCTTGGAACTTTCTCGGAATCGAATAACTCGCGATCTTCTCGCCTCAGAGATCTCGACTTCTAATAGAATCGTGTCGTCCAAGTTCTGTCGCGAACATGCATTTCTCCCAGGGTCGAGAGTCGATTTTCTTCTTGCGTGACCTCCTCAATCGTAGAACAGTCGTCTGACACATGGCAATTTACTCCACTGGACGGCTCGAGTCGAGTGTCTCACTTATAACGGCTTATACTACTGATTCTTTACGTAGCTTCTCGCCTCGCGTTCTCCTGGAGTTCGTTTAGGGGTATTGTTTTTATTTGAAGACGTGAATGCATAATAAGAAATGAGAATACGCGAAGGAGACTCACAAGCACGACGATACAATTATCTATAGTTCGTCGATTTCGAGAAAACGACGTAATCAGCTCCTAAATGGAATTGTTAGCACCGATGCCAATCGTATAACAATAATACAATGTTTATGTCGTGACACCCTGTGGTAACACGGCCCTGACTGGCGCCAATCTGTCTATGTCGCAGTCTTGTGGGTGGGAATTCGTTGCGCTAGAATTTTCACACACCGACATCGACGTTACGCTATTGTAACACATTCACCGCATTCGCGATTAGAAAATGAGACCAGAATGTCTAGGAAGTGTATAAATAAATCGAAAGCGAAAGCAACGTTTCGTTTGAGAAATGTAAAATGATCATTAACGATTATAGAGTAGGTAACAAAGTTTCAAACGAATAAACTCTGTCAGTGGGACGCGGAATCGATATCACGTTTCACGATAGGCACGCGAATAATTTATAACCCTCGGAGCACGAGGGTTGCACGAGACGAAGAGAGCCGTTGACTCCCGCACTCTCAGAGGCCAACAAAGATTTTTAACAAAGTTCTCTCGTCGGAGATCAAGTGTTGACTTATACTTTATGTACGCTCTCGTCGCGCCTTTCTCCTCGGCCGAGGATGGATGGATAGGGACGCCACTTGATCGGTCTCTCGCTTAGGGATGCGAGCCGCGACGGCCTTTAAACAATTTTCCTCGTTCTAAATAGTATCTATACCTTTGCCGACACGCTTATCGACTCGTAGAGGGTCCAACGTCTCGGCCTCTTGAAACACTTCGAGTAGCAGATCCAATGCTCGTGTATTGGCACAAAATGTTACGATAATACATACAATCTCGGTATTACACTTCCACAAAATATTAAATACAGAACTTTTACTTCGTATAGTAAACAAGTTCATCTGTGTTAAAATGTACTGAATGGATTATCTGTTTTAAACGGATATTGCATGAAAAAATTTCTCGGGGTATGCAATACTTGCGGTCTGCGTAGAATTTCGTTAGTTTCGTCGTAGCCGAGTTACCGAAAGTTTGCGCATATGGAACAACTGTTTCCATGATCAATACGTATATTAATTTTACCGTTTATAACGACGTCAGACACTCGAAAAGAGAAATTTATCACCATTAATTTTAGAAATCGTATCGAACGTTTCATTACTTTCTGAAGTGAGTTAAAAGCGAGAGGGAAAATTACTTTTTATCAGATTTTAATATATCTTGAATTCATCGTAATTGCTGATATGATCGTGCTATACTTTCCTCGGATTTTTCGGACAAGAGCTTAGCTGAAAATTGCAATTTAAACTCGCACGGCTAATTCACGTCTCGATGTTCAATCGTCGAAGCTCATCGTCGTTGCTAAAGCTATTTACGTCGCGGCGAGCGAACTCATAGTCGCCCATATCGATAACCGATACTGCGCCTGTTTTTTCCAGCTTCGTCTCAAACACTGTTACGTGATGTCGCGGAAACTATTACGCTGAATTAAAGACACGTCTGTTGTGCACCGACAAAGGGACCCGGTCTTGGGAATTCTGTAACAGTCGCTGAAATATTTTCATATCCGGAATCAATTCAAACCTATCGCCACGTTCGCCTTACCATTTAATCAAGATATTAAATTTCCTCTTATAATCGCTATACTCTTTGGGCTGTTTTAATGATTTTATTACGACCTCTGACTGTTTAGTTAATTGCGCAAATTACTTTGTCTAGTAAAAGGGTGACGCTTCGGTACAGAAATCTGGCGAGGCGTGTAATGAGGCAATTGTTTTCCTCTATAAAAACCAATGTTTGTTACCTCACGTGAATGTTCTTTCTCGAAATTGATAAATGAGAATTACTGACTCGCTGAAGATGTCGAGTAAAACCGTATTTTAATCGTACATGTTACTGCAGGCATGTCAAACACCGGCCCGCCAAGTTTATGCGAACAACTATTTTCCACTTTAAAAAATAATAAAACAGCGGAGAGATCAAGATTAACAGATAAGCATGTGCAAGCAATTATAAAA